TTCGATTTCCGAGAAAAGTTTTTTTTTTGCGAAGCATCAGGTGTTAAGCAAAAAGTCAATGTCAAAAAATGTTTTTTTTAGTTTGGTGTCTCGTGGTGGGGTCGCTACCGGTCAGTGAGATCAAATAAAAAATTGACTTCTGGTAAATTTTTTTATTGTCATTAATTTAAAATTGTTGGTTTTAAAAATCTAAGATTTCAATTTTACATATGTTTTTTATTATATCAATTGAAAGACTTTTCTTATTAGATAAAGTAGTAAAGGTTTCGAGCACGGAGCTAGTAGAAGGGCCTAGCCCTAGTAGTGTACATACATTACCGTTAATCGGAACTTATGCAGACAAATATAAATTGCAGTTTTATATATGTTGACAATATCGAAACGATGCTGACAGTCAGCGTAATTCATTTCATGTTTTTAACATCTTTAAAGCATCTAATGTATGCATAAGTCCTATTCTATTTACATATCCGTAAAATAGTTGTAAGACTAAATTAAGTCACCAACCCCTTCTCAAAGTTTTAAATGTTTCCTTGAGCCTTCTCCCCCTCAAAATAAGGAAAAAAAAACTCAAAATTTATTTCTCAAATTGACTTAAGAATAAATATCCTACGAAAATAAAAAACCCCTTCGCCCCCTCACATTTTAAGTGGGCCTCAGTCCCTCTCGCCACCCTCCTTACCCTAAAATGCACTTAATAGTACTTATAAAAATCAAATTATTAATCATAATTTATGACTATATGACAAAAATACCAAACAATACACAGTTACTTTATTGTTAGGTAATCATTTAATCAACATGATTAATTTATGTCCATTATAGAAATTAACATTGGTAATTATAATTTTTTTCTCGTGTATGAACTTTCATGTACAAATTAAGTGGAATTTCTGCCAAAATAGAGTTGTTAATGTTTGTAGTTGTAAAAAATTTATCATTAAGATGCAATGTAAAAAAAAATTTTTAAGAAATAAGAACCTCTTCAGCCTCTTTTTTGCAATTTAATTGTGTAAATGTACGAAATAACTTTTCCAAAAATATTTCACTTGCTTATATTATCTAATATGGATTTTTAATTTTGTATCACATAATCTCAGAGTAACGTTCAGTATATGTATATGATACCTGTAGAAAATTTTTTAAAATCTTTCTTTATTCCTTTCTGTTCATGGTTTTATGTAACAGTAATGAATAAATCAAGTTTTCTGAATTTTCGAATTATTGCCATTGCATTATAGTGACGTTTATGCATATACCTTGCACCACCAACGAATGTTAAAGGTGAAATAATAATTTTTTCTACTTAATGATTTTCAAAATTTTTCAATTATTTGATACACTACGTATTATAAGGTCTATTGGCTCTTGGTAACATTTATTTCTGAATATTTTGTGGTTATTATGAAAAAAGTTTATTCTTATGCTTTTTATCATTATAAATGCATGCAAAAAATTGTTGCATTAATCTATCAGTATAAAGTATAGGACTGAAATTTTACTGCTCAGTTAATAAGCAGTTTTATACAAATAATATTGAAGCAACGTGAGATTTTGTGCTTGTACACAATTTTTTTTGTGTATAGCAAGTAATCTGTTATATCCTGATGAGAACAGCAAAGGAAAAACCATTGGATCGACCTTATGTGATAATTTGTTTAAATATGTGTGAATAAGTACACTATTTAGTTCATCATTTAGATACACCTAGTCGTAATGTCTAATATTTTCTGATTTTGTAACAATTATTGTTTCACATTCTGCTGTTACAGGTTTATTGTTCTGATGATTTTCATTGTTGTATTTTGTTTAAAAGTTTATTTTATAGTTTTCAAGACGTTTTAAATTTACTTAAGTTGTAAGACTTTCTAGAGTTTTGACAAAGTAAACTACGCAAAAAGTTTTCCTAATTGAAAAAGTAGCATGACGTTGCAAGATTCTTCAAAAATGTTCATTACTTAAAAATCATGTTGCAAAAATCGTAGGCTAACTAATACTTCTTTACATGAATTATGCAGTATGTTATGGATTTTTAAGTCTTGAATTGAAGAAGCACCTTTTACTTTATTTAAAATTAGTTTAAAAAAAGAAACGTCTTTGATCTTTTAGTAATACAACATTTAAATGATCAATCATCCTGTAGTACCGCTTTATCTTCAATGGAATAGTATTACATGCCAGTGAATGTCGCTTCAGGACGTTCATCACACATAGTATTTGGATGGNTTTATATTTAAAGCATAGGCTAAATTTATAACAGCTACTCTAATCGTCCTAAGCTTGCTTAGTTATTCAAAATTCAATATAAAATAAAAACAAATTTGGGTGGTTGATCAGGACTATTTATTATTACAAAAATTGCATCTGCCTGATAATTCGGCAATTTGGTATTGCCATCATCAGGGACTGCTTAAAAAAATAATGTAAATTTTCGAGTTTGAACGTTGCACGTATGTTTCCTGTGGCCCAACAGTATATTCACAATATTAATGACATTCTAGTAAAAAATTTTTTGATGTACATAATAAAAATTTTTTCTCTTTACATAAAAAAAGAATGCGAGTTAGTCACTGTAATATTGTGCAAAAAGAATTTGTTTTTCTAAAATTTATTACACCCTTTTGTTGACGCAAACTAAGTCCCTTTCTACTTTTTTTTAGTAAAATTTTTATTATGCAAACAACATATTTTCAAGTTTTTTACACAAACTATCGGAAAGTAGCTGCTTTAACGTATGGACCGTAATTTCTTTATAACACTAAATAGTTAAACCTTTGAGAACAGACAAGTTAAAGACATTTAAATTAACCGTGATGCAGTAGGCGGTTGTTCATGCAAGGTTAGTACAACTCACTTCAACATGATGTTATGTGAGAGCCCTCGCATACCCGCTCACTGCCTCCCAAAAAAATTATCGAGCCTCCTTGAATGGGGCATGGATCACCTCGTACAAGGTGTTGAAATGCATTCTGGAGAAAACTACTTAGGGTATAGATTAAAAACCTAAAAAGCTAGCAAACTGTGCAAGAAGTTTTGCACATATGCTTGCAGCTGATTTAGGAAATTTTCGATCCCTCCCTTTACTTTCTTAATATGCATTTGGAGGGGGGAAGGGATGTTACGTCCGTACTTCTAAGTGAAGGGTGGAACTCGTAGATTCGTTCTACAAACAAATAAATTTAATTTTTTTGTTCGTCAAGAACCAGACGTCGGCCCAAAGGCCTTATTTGCTCTTACTTACAATATGCTTTCCTTTAAAATCGTTGACTCGGTGTTGTGGTGTTAGGTTTCACCGGGTGAAATGAATGGAGTGGCATTAGTATGTCATACGCCGAACTGACGTTGACCTACTGTATGAATTTCTGTCCGATAAAATGTAGTAGCTGCGTATTTATTTCGTTTTTTCATCTCACGTCCTTGTAAAGGTCTATGTCATACGTCAGTCTGTTTATTTTTGTATAGTGTTCAATTTATTCATTGAAACTAAAATTTTGTTATAATCAACTAGAATTTTAAATTTGGAAATATTTGAGTTTAGAAAATATATTTAAGAATTGAAATATTTTATTTAAAAAAATTTAATCAACAACTAATTTATGTCTTATCTAATGATTTAATAAATTCAGTAAAGCAGGAAATATTCGAAATTTCCAGAATATTAATTATACTTAACTTACTTCTATTAATCGTTGGTTAGCCGCTGCTTGCGCGCACGCAGTCGCAAGATCTTACAAGGTAGACTGCAACGATGATTTTCATCCTACACGAGAATACTCGTGGCGATGACAATAATTAGGCTGCTGCTTTTAACGTCGGAACCCTTGTCGACGGTCCTTTCTTTCTTGTTCCTCCTTGATTCACTTTGTAGGTGAGTCAACAGTGGTCTGGGTTGCTCGAGCTTTTCTCACACAGCTTAGTCACCGAATTAAGTCTTACATCTGCTTAAAAGACGCAACAGAACTCACTCTCCAACCCTTATAGTTACTATGGATACTCTTGCATTTAAAGAGGACACGTCAAGTTGGGGATCCGAACGACCAATCAGAGCTTAACCCAATTACTCTCAATTAACACAAGCATAAACTTGGCGCAACAACTAAACTGCGAACAATGGTAAAAATCGCTGATCTCTCGGATTTTGCATTTGGTACTGTTGATGTTGAAACTGTGCACGACATCCGCTGTGGATCATCCTCAGTAATAAATGTTGAAACTGTTGATTGTTTTCATTCTTGCGGACATTTAGTGCAAATTGATTATGTAAGATGAGCGCTATATAAGATTATTTGGAGATTGCACGCGTAGTTCGAGTTTTGCGACGGCAGCTCTTTTTAAAGGAAATAAGTTATATGTCACAAGATTGCAGAAGCAGCTATATAGCTCAATGTTTAACAATCGCTGAGCATTCGCTTTTTATAAGTTTTTAACGGAGCTGTGTACTTCGAAATAATGAATATTAAGTATATTGCATGAGATGTCACAGGGGGATCGAAGGGGACAGAAAATGAAAAGTCCACTTCCGTTACATTTTTTGCGAAGTAAAAGTTTTGAAATTGTTAGTTGACTCCATCGCAAAATGTGCCTATAGACGTCTTACTTCAATACACTTGCACTACGATTGCACACATACGAGTGGTACGTGACTAACATACATATGTAATTACATACCTTTCGATCCAGTATTCTAACGTACTATTTAGTAAAAATGTACAATAAAGTATTTAATACTTTTAAAAATAGTTTTTAAAGCACACTGCAAGTTTGTATTCTTATTGTCTTATTCTTAAACACTTATTATTTGTATAGCAATGAATTCCATTGTAAAAGTTCTTATTTGTCTTTATATACTCGTTAAAATAATAGTTACATGAGAAGTTTACTTTTCTGTAATCTGTAATGCATGCTTATGAGTTTTGTAAACTTAATTTATTCTATGTACAAATTTTGGTCGATTAAAATTACTGTATGTATAGAAATTTTAATTTAAAAATATGTTTCAGGCCGAAAAGCAGTATCCATGGATTGGAAAAGCTTATTATACTTTTGAAGAATTGAAATGATATTATTAAATGTAAATTATTTCCTAAATCTTTGAGTAGAAATAAAAAAAAACTGAATAGTTAATAAAAACCTTTATAAATTAGTTAAATATAAATTATTAATCATGTGTTATAGTTGAACTTTTCATGTTACATTATGGATATACATATTGAATTTTTCGTTGCAAAATATGTAAAAATTAGCTGACACATTATACTTTTTTAATAAATTTTTATCCGTTTAAAATATTGTGTAAGAACAGCGTGTGCATAACAAAAAAAAATGTGGAATTATTTTAATCTGTGAATAAACTTCGAAATTTATTTTTAGAGTACCGAAGTCGTTTAAACTTTGATGAAACTTAAATTTTTTTTTTAATTTAATACAGAAAAAGAGTACACCTTATCAAGTAACATTATAAAACGGAGGTTTTTAGTTAATATTCTATTGATTCTTACATATATTTTAAATTAAGTAAACATACATGTGTCAAAGTATCTGTTAGAAAAGAAACAGTAAATACAGGCAAAAATTTATGAAACCTTAGTGCTAAATATCATTCCCATTGCTAAGTATAAAAAAATCAGATGTTTGTAAGATCCTAAATTTGATGTGACTCATTAACTTATGGTTCATTGCCCTTAAGAGGTGGCCCGTCTATAAGCATTGTTGTGGAAATCATTCTCTCGACGGAACAGCTTGTATCATCTGTATATAGCAAAAATTGGCAACTTCATGAGACTAGCCTATATCCTTGCTTGCCTAAGGTAAAACGACTCAAGTTTCTTATGAAAAGAAACTTATTAATTATCTTGACAACTAACTAGAATATGTCTGAAACTTTAAACAGTTAGTAAAAAATCAGTACAAAAAATGATTTTATTCCTTAAAAATCTTCAAAACAGAGCAATAAGAAAGAGTTTATTTCATAAGACACTGATTTGAAAATATAAATGCTTGTATGATTTTTCTAGATTTAACAAATTTTTTTATTGAATACCAAACATACAATTAATTTTATAATAGCCAAAAGTGTTAATTCGTATATTTTGTAAGGCAAAAAAAAATTTTTTAATGAAATCTTTAACAAGTAGTCCTTAAGACGAATCACGTTTCTAACCAAGGACTTTTCTAACGTTTCTAACCAAGATTCAACTCGATTATAAGATAAAATGGCGTGAAATTTGATGAAAGGGGTCATTAAATTATTATGCTCAGCACTGAGTGACTTCCGCCACGTATCTAATAAATATTTAGACTTTGTAATTCTCTATTATTCTCATTTCTGCTAATTATCTCGATTAGTTTTAAAAGAATCCAAACCATTCAGTTTACTTACATTTTTAGACGAATATAATTTTTTGAAAATACTTCAGACTAGGGATTATTTTTTTAGTGTGTTATTTTATTTATGAGTGCAAATCATTCTCAATAGTTAGTTCTAAGGTAACAATGTGTCTGGGATATACTTATTTACTGCCATTGAAGCTTACCATTTTATAAATATGTCAACTGTATATATGAGGCAGTGGCGCAAGAAATAATGCTAACATGTTATTAATTGCTGCAATTCTTAAAATCAATTATATGTGATTAGTAACTTTACTAATATATAAAGCACAGTTGCTAAAACCGTTGTAATCGAGAACCGCAAAAACTACTGAACCGATTTTTTTGAAATTTTGCATACTAAATCTTAATTATTCTGAGATAATTTTCGCATAGTTTTTTCTTTAAAAAAATGATAACAATAACGATATATAAGCTCAAAGTTTTGCTAAAATGAGGTAGATTTGCTCTTTCATTCAGTAGGACAAGGTAATGACGAGGAAAAATTAAAGCCATCTACAATCAAATATAGTGACGAGTGGTTATAGGATGTCCCATCGAGTTGCCGATTATCGTAGTCGTTCATCGGCAGTACACTAAGAACAGAGTCGTTAGTCGTGCAGCTGAGCATCCCGGATTCCAATGACACTCTTCTTTCATGGGCAAACGAAATAAATCGGTTGTATCCTGGATCGCCAAGATAACTGAGTGACACGAAAAAATAGGCTTTCAGAACGTCAACGTCTCCGGAGGAATACCAGGAGACGTGTCTAGTCATATCACAACACAACCTGCTCCAACACTTCAGAGTTTTGTGGCCGTTTAACCATCCGGCCTGGTACCGTCAGAGAATTTTCTACTTCAAATGCAAGCCAGAAAAGATAGCCCTGAAGAGTACAGGCAGCCACAACGGCCTCCTTCTTAGTAATTGTCCCAACGGTATACCTACAGAAAAGATATTATCCACGCCCAATTTCCCTACTAAAAATGAGCGGTTGGCTATCCGAGGAACGACCTAAAGACGATATACTTTTGAGTCAGCAACGTACCTCCCTCCAGTACGGTCTCCGTATACAGAGACTCTATGGATAAGAGTCAAGCTATCCACAGCTGACTCTTCGTCATCAAGAACAATAATAAGGTACAACTGGAAATTTCATCACTGGGCCTTTTCAGGGCTATTATAAGTATTTACATTCCCTGCTTAACCATCAATCTCATCGGTTCTTTTAGGGGCCCCCTATGTTTAAACTACCTTGCCAACAAATACATTTTTACTACCATTTCCGGAAACAATTCGTCGATTCAAATACTATGTTAAGCCGGCCACTGCGAAACCAAGTCAGTCATTCACTGGCAGACGTCACGAGTAAGTAGAGTTCTTCATCGCAAGGTTGGGAACCCCGATGACCGATGGCCCTATATTACTCTCTTGACTCTAAGTATTCCATCAGCAATCACCGATTCTTTCCAAGATTTGCGCAGGGAGAACCAAACAGCTATGAAGGAAAAATAAACTTGAGCAAACGGGACAGTCTCCAACGGGCAAGCATCGCGAACCAATCTTTCCACCCTAGATAACAAAAAAGATTGAGTCTACAAAAAAAAAGAGGTGCTTTAGACACCAGTGTCTCCGACGTTATACCAGGAGACGTTGAGAAAGAGCTCTGCAACTAGCTCCAAGGCTTTAAATGTTTTAGTTTTCCTCCCAATCAGTGTGGTTCTACAATAACAGGCCAGAAAAGATCACCCTGAGGTATAGAATCAGTCGCGTTTGCTGTAAACTTTAGTCAAGAAAGAGTTTACTTAAGAAGCTCACTGGTCCTTTTTAGGGTCATCGGACGTCGAACTACCTTGCCAACAAATATAGTACAACCTAATGAAGTTAAAAAAAATAGCTTTTAGAGCTCACAAAAGTCTTAACAATACTAAAAGTCGCAAGAATCAGAATTGAAAGAAAAACTTTAATTGCATCTAATAAATACAATTTTAGGCGTCAAGAAAATGATGCTAAACATTTATGAGATTAAAGCAACATCAAAATCAGTAAATAAAGAATTTATTAAGTGAGAGATTAGATTTTTACTATAACCCTTATAGTAATCTCTTGAATCTTTCAGATTTTTAAATAGGTAGAATATGTATTTGTATTTTTGTGGCAAAAAAAAATGTAGAGATTAAGCTCCATGACACTGTTGCTATGGTAATAAAGTTGTGAGATAAAAGAATAAATTTATTTTTTAATATGCGTTTTTGATGAAACTGCAAATCAACGGCTCCTTGTGGCCACCGATTATTTTATGGCATAAAGAATGCCCGGTACTTTTCAGCATAATTGTCGGAATTTTAAACTGAAATTGAGTTATCAAAGTATGAAGACTTTCATTATATGTATATGATAGCATAAGTAGATCAAAAAGGGCCCCTTTTTTCGTTTCCTGTTCCTTTAATATTCCTGTAACATATAGGCATGGGCAGTTTACAAAATGTTAGAAAAACAAAAATAATGAAAGTGGTAATAGTATGTTAATGAGTTATTAAGGAAAAAGAAAACAAAACATTATTTGGCAAACAACGCTTCGCAACAGTTGTAGAATGTGCTCTAAACTTTTTAAAGTTTTTATTCAGAGCAACGAAAGAAAAAATACACATATTCGTATGCACGAAAAGTACCGAATGCTAAACTGCTAACTCTGGCTATGAGACATACATATAGGCGCACAGTATGAACACACACGTGTAATAACAATGGCCACCATCTGCTATAAAAGCAGAGGCTGTCCCTGTCTTGCTCCGTGGTCAAAGATGGGGCCCTTGCCTTCGTCAGGGCAGCTAGTATCGTCATGTCGTGCAGAAATTCGGTAGGTGCTTGGTACATTCGATAGAGTAACTAGTGATTGTCAAACAGTTATACCCCCTTACTGACTTATCTAACGATATTTAAGATTTACGTGAGCGCTATTTACAAAATAATATGAGATCCTTCTCCATGCCGCAAGTCGTGCCAAAATGACGATCGTAGCTTGCGTGGTGTACTCAATTTAGCTAAGCTATCTAATACGATGAATAAGTTTAAAGACCATCAATGTTAATTTGATGACTTTTGTTTTTGTGTACGTTATAATTTTATAACCTTCGAGGATGTGGGCCAGTGCATTGGTATGGAGACTTTCTGCTTGTATTTAATGTAAAAGATTGCATCATCACTCGGTCTTGCTGCAATCAACGCATCTCGCGTGCCCCTAACGTACAAAATTCTTAACAATTAATAATATTTCCTCGTTTTCCTCCGCCTGTGCTGTAATTCCTGGCAGCCACATAATAAGAAAAAAGTCATGGAAGAAACGCTTACCATCTATAAAAATACCCCTAAATTCTCGACCCTCTACGGTTAGCTCATGTCCTTTGAACTTCGAACGCTGGTAGTTGGCACGTTTATTCCGTGAGTGGAAGTTATATCAGAAACATGTCCAACAAAATGCATCGTTTACATGTGATCTGTAGTTCGAATACACATTTAAGGCCATGAATTTTTTTTTTTACGATATCATTGGCTAAAGAATACAAAAATAGTATTATAAACTACAATTTTGGTGGAAGCTTATTATTTATAGTGCATTAAGTAATGTCTTAAATAATAGAAAAATTGTAGAAACTTTTCATCTAATAGATCAAAATTACCGTAAAATTTAATGATATGTTCATAAAGACACAAAGAAATCAAAGCATGACCATAAC